CGAGAGAGAGAGCGAGAGAGAGAGAGAGAGAGAGAGAGAGAGAGAGAGAGAGAGAGAGAGAGAGAGAGAGAGAGAGAGAGAGAGAGAGAGAGAGAGAGAGAGAGAGAGAGAGAGAGAGAGAGAGAGAGAGAGAGAGAGAGAGCTGGGAGAGCTGGGAGATAGAAGAGCACAGTGCTCTTGGTGATGGGGACTGCGAAGGATAGCAGGTTCTGGGACATGTGCATGGGAATCAGAATATTGGTGATGATGGCAGCAGGGTTATAAGGTAAGCAGCTGAACACTAATAAAAACAGGGAAAGCGTTGGTGAACCGATTCAAAGTGCATCAGTAGCAGAGAGCCAGTCCTGAGCAAGAAGGTGACGGTACGCCTTTTTCTCAAAGCTTTGCATGTGGGGCTGGGCGGGTGGGTGGTGGAACAGGTCTGGTGGCAGGGCATTCCATGTTGCAACGGTGCAAGCAGGGAATCCTTGGAGACAGCTATTCCGGGTGTTGGCAGGCAGGCCAGTTGTCATCTGGTATGGATGGGAATCATGCAGCTGGAGAGACTGACGGATAGGTCTTGTCTCGGGGGCACGGTGAGTGGCTGGTTTGGGCAGCATCTGCTTCAGAGGGCTGGATGCATCTAGATAGCAGAGCTTGTAGGTATAGGCAAGTGCAGCTACCAGGCGACGGAGTGCCAGGCTAGGGAGCCAAGTACCTGCTCCGATGATGTAGAGGGCCCTTCGCTGGATCTGGTCCAGCTTCTTAAGATGGGACGAGGGTGAGCCCATCCACACTAAGGGGCAATACTTGAGTGTGGGTCGCACAAAGCCGTTGTAGACGCGTTGGCGGCTCTCGGCGACCAGAATGGGAGACGCTCGCTTCAGGAAGCCAATCCGCTGGTTAGCATGGGAAGCTAGGGAGCGGAGGTGGAAGGAGTAGCTCAGGGTGTCGTCAAAGGTGACTCCCAGGAGTTTCAGCCGACTCTCTTCACTGACCGGTGTGCCGTCAAATGTTGCTCGAGGGAGCTCCCAGGGCTGGCGATGGTGGCCTATAGACATAGCCTGCGTCTTGGAGGGCTCAAATTCTATCCTCCACTTATGTCCCCAACGGGAAAACGCATCAATGCCCTGCTGGAGGAGCTCGGAGCCACAATCAATGTCAGCTCTTGATGTGAGGCAGTGGAAGAGAGTTCCTGGGTTAACAGCAACTCCTCCACAGCAGTAAACGCCATGCTTGCACCAGCCGACTTGACAATTGTGACTCTTGGCCCGCAGTGACAACCAGTTCCTTGCCTGGGGGCACCTTGTCAGGTTGTCCGGGAGCTGCCACTTCACCACCAAAGAATGCCACAAGCTCTTCTTTGTTGCTACCAACTGATAGGTACTTAGAGAACTGCTTTGGCATGCTCTATTTCCCTCTACATTTTCCTCTTCGCCATACATACATACATGTACATGTACACACTAGTCAGAACAACAGATGGCTTGATCAGTCACAACAAAGTTTCATGCCATCTCAGGCATGTACATGTACATGTACATGTATATCCATTAGATCACCATTGGTCACAGACTACTCTATTCATTTCTACCTCTTTTCTAAAAGGCTTTATAGATGTCACATGTACACTGGTCACCAATATATTTGTACAGTTGTCGGTGTATGCATGCATATTTAATTACGTATGTACAGTAATGTATAGTTGCAGTAGATCCGATTTTATAATTCACCTTTGAGGCCCTGAAGTTTATTTGTTTTCAGTCAAACTTGGCTAACCAGTCATACGTATTGGATATGTTTATATCCAGCAGGAATTTTGTCAAAATATCGCATAGTTCTCCTGTATATTTGAATTAACTGATGTGTTGCCATGGCAACCATCATCAATTCTTTCCACCTTCATTGTATGACCTTCCCGATGGAAATTTTGATTGAATGGCATACCATCTTGCAGCATTTTGAAGATACTTGACACTCAAATCGACAAAACTTGGTGCCCTCTTACCCGGAACGAAACTTCAAAAATAATCCCCCTGGCCCCCAGACTATGGGCCAGGATCAGGAGAAAGCCATGAAAACCTTTCCTTTCCCAATTCCACAATTTCGAGGTCATAATCATGACTACTGGTACATATAGTACAAACACCTTTTACTACTCCCTTCTGTATTACTTGTATTAGTATTATAAAGTAAGTAAACTATCGTGTCCGTTCCCAAAGGAAACCCACGGCAGCCACTAACACCCGGTAAACCCTAGCGGCAGGTGCAGCGCCTAACGGTGGGGGTGAGGGTATGTGCCTGGCCACAAGTTCTCGTATCTCAATCACGGTCTTTGTCTTTGACCAACCCACTGTGCCTGCCTGGTCCTGCTGTATCATGCACACATACTTTTAGGTGCAATTTCAGTGTCAGGGACCTGTCAGGTTTCAGGTGTTACGTAGAATTACATGTAGGTGACCAGCATTCCCTTCACATACTCATACCCCAGTGCCTTTTAGGTGCATTTTAGTTAGCCCTTTGTGGACAATGCTCGAAAATAGGCAGATTCTCGGCTCAAAAAGCAGTGGCTTTGGCAGAACCAATACAAACCGGGGCCTTGTGCCAGTCACTTCCTTGAATTCTGCTCATTTCTTTATCCACATACCAAAACATGCTTGAAACATACCAGAAAAAGTACCATGATTCTGCCAATCTTTCTGCTGTCCTTGAAGTACATGTATAATAGTAATAGTAATAGCACCCATGGTTGAGTCAACCATGGGTGCTATTACTATTGCCGGTACTACTATACATGTACATCTAACATGTTTTTCGATTTTGACAGCATTGTTACAAGGCGAGGACGCATAGTGCTCCTGACTACAACCATAACCCGGTTGGCAAGAGTCCCGGTCTTGCGACCATTTGAACCGTATTGGGAAAACCCAGGTTCCTCTCAGGACCCTCTTTACTCTAGGGGTTGGTAGGATGTAGATTTTTTCTTTTTTTTGTGTTGTAGATGTTATCGTGTTGCCGCCGCAGTTTTTTGAATTCTTTATTCTCACAGTTGTTGTTCACGTTGTCGTGTCCTTGTAACATGCTGTCAAAATCGAAAAACATGTTAAACTACCAAGCAAGGCTTCTTTTATATACTATGCATGTACATGTATGTAAGTTAGATGGTGCCACCAGATGGTTCACATCACCCGGCTCGATGTTCGGCCAATGTTACCAGTGCACATCAGTAATGACCAGGGACTTGTAAAACACTTTGCCTTCTTGCATTTTACTCGACACAAAGTTGCATTTTACTACTGAAAGAAACGTGATTTGTTGAAAGCACAAACCAATAATAATGGTTTGTGCTGAATTTTATATGAATACAGATCGAGCAGGATCGAAAAAGAGAGCACTGCTAGTCTGCTACTACTGTACTACGTATCTAATATTGACTGAGTACTTGGTCAATATAGGAAATAAAAGCCGAGTAAAAGACCGAGGCGAAGCCGAGGTCTTTTACGAGGTTTTTATTTCCTATACTGACCAAGTACGAAGTCAATATTAGATTTATCATGACAAACAGTCCGTATTTCAAATTCCAGAACGATAACCTCATGAATCCCGGTTTTATGATTGCACAACCGTTGCACCACCACCTACTCATGCAGTGACAATGTTGCACTAGGCACCGTTCAACCATGTCAACTGCGCAACCCCTAAGCAGTCAAATATAAGCAGTCAATATAGCCCTAAGGAGTGAAATACTGATGCAGGAATATTTGACTGCTTAGGTACTAGGTATAGCGAAAATCAATGGGAGTCAATACTAAGAGAGTGATAAAATGTAACATTAGAACAATGACTAATAGTTGACTATGACTCCTTGAGGTTAGTTGATTATGGCTAATGACTAATATTGCTGTTGCGACGTAGCAACAGCACTAGTACATAATTATCCTATAGCAACAGGACTAGTCTAGCAGGCGAATACCTAGCTCCGTGACCAGGTGACTCTTCTTACCATATTCGTGGGAGGTGTCGTTCGAATGACAGCTGCGTGAAACCTGAGGCTGAAGCCTGAAGGTCCGGGGCTAGCGCGCGGCGGAGATGTTCTATTCCTATCTGGTCAGATGAACAGAGTACGTTACAGATAGGGGCGGATTCTCTGGCAAGCCAAAAGCGATCACAGCTAACCGACAAACTTTGAGATGACGCATGGACGTCTAGACAGCTTCTACCTCTCAACTCAACTAACTTCTACTACTACTAGTGAGTAGCGGCTACACCTAGTAGTAGTAGATCGATCATCATGATGTCGAGTTCGCACTGAAGTCCAAACAACATTCTTTCGCCGATATGGCACGACAATGTCATGGCGATGAAGCCGTCATGTAGTAGCCTTCTCCCCCCCCCCCCCCCAACCCCTGTTTCTCCCCCCCCCCCCCCCCCCACCTCTGTTTCTCGCCAACACCCTAACACTATTCCAAGACACACACTGTACTGGAATACGTTTCCTCAGTGTGTTAAGCCGCTTGACTAAGTCATCTTTTAGTTGTACATAGCAGAGTGTTAGCTCCTTCAGTTCAACAACGAAGATACATATCGTTTGCATTAATTATCATACCGAACACTATTAATGCTACACATCACATTCCACATGACTAACCTTGTCGGCTTTTTTCCTTCACTATTCCAAGTCAAGTGGCAAATAATGTGTACGGGCCATTTGCCATTTTCACGGGGAAAGGCCGCACTTCCAAGATATTCCGCGGTCGTTTCCATATTTCTTCAGAACTAACAAGCTACCAACAATGACTCTTGTTTTATTCTTGCATGTCACTGTTTGTCAACCTAAAGAATTCTACACCCATGAACGTCTTTGTTATTTCATATCAGAGACTGCTTTGCGGGCCATCTCTCAGCAGAAACAGTACACAGTGTCTATGATCGTCCCTGGCCCCTCACATGCACCGACCACGAATACCAGGTTACCACACGGCAACAAAGCCAATATCTATGGGGACTAAACCTAGAACTAATAAATGCAGCTATTCTTTATTTTTAAAATTGCTTGAATAACCTTGTTCACAACACAACAATGCTTTGCCAGCCTAAACTATGGTATGAAAAGGAAGACATTTCTATTATCAAATCACAAACCACGCAGATGCAGAGAAAAGGAGGGCGAAGTAAACTATATCTACGTCAGTGGATGAGATAGGTCACCAATCGATGCAAGTCTCACCAGGTGGATTGTGGGAAGGACTAGGCCTCACCAAGAGGAAATTGAAGGCTTTCAACTTGCTCTGGGGTGGCGCGTTGCACAAATTCAGTCCATGACCCCTGATAGAAACAAAGTTAAGAAACCATAACAGAAGTTGCACTCGGATCAGCAAGCACGCTTTTCGTGAGCCTGGACAAAGATTCTTTCTACTTCACGTAACGTCGTTTTATACTGGACACTCTGTAGACCTTGAGCATGTGAGGCGTAAATGTTCTACAATGTACTTGCCACTACACCGGGCACACAGCAGTGGTACAACTAAGTCTGCTGTTACACAACAAAAACTCCGAGGACAGCAGAGAAGAGACCTTGTCATACCACTGGTTACCGCATGCCTGTTGTATCTCTAGCTGTATCTCAGAAAATCCTTTGGCTTGGCCTGACAATGGATAGCGTTAATGTTGACCATTAATGTATCTCGAAAAAAAACATTTAGAAACATAATCATGTCCGTTGGCGTCTGCAAGCATAAATGGAGGTCCCATATCATAGCACATCCACCACACATGTAGTTCCTTACATCAAATACTGGAATGCTCTGTTGACCGGCCATGAAGGCTGTGAATGCCAAGACAGTCGCAGTCACGCCACTTCCACAGGTCATGATGGTGGGCTTGTTCAAGTCAATGCCAAACGATGCGTACACTATGACACACAAATAGACCAAAAACCACACATGCACACATGCCCGCGCACGCACACGCACACACACACACACACACACACACACACACACACACACACACACACACACATGCACACACAAACATACACACATGTACAAGCACTACTACTACTATGTACAACTGCCACAAAATGGCCACGTCGCTCCCAGAAGCGTACAAGCACGTGTACACACACAACACACATGCAAGATCGAAAAGCAATAGGGCGGAAACCAAGCACTAGGAATACAGTGTAGGATGTACGTCAAAAGTTTTCGATTTCCTTTTGCTGCATTTGTAAACACACATACTTTGTTATTGGTACATAGCTTCCATATCGCACACCCAAGCCCTGATAAGCCCTCAGACGGTGATACAATAAGGCCTGTCGAGTGCAGACAGAAAACATAACTGAGTAAAGATGAATGATCAGCATACAAGTGCTGCCAGAAAGCACACCTGCTCTCCTCTCTTACCCTCTTTTATGGCATCCGCTGATTTGAGAGTTTTCGTCTCCGGATCCAACATATTGAAGAAAGGTACATTGGTAGCGCCCTTCATGTGACCACTGGGAAGCTCTGAGGAGCAGAAACACCAGCATATTTAGAAGCTAAAGACACTGGACTAAAAATATCTACTCAAACAAAGACAAAACAACATGCCTGAAAGTAGTAGTTATGGCGCATGTAGGAAGGCATGCACAAATAAAATTGACAATAAACGGCAAGAAATACTACTAATAATACTGTAGTACGACAATCTGCAACATGGTAGCGGGGCTGCAGCAATAACATTCTGTGAAGTGGTCTGTCACGCAGCTCACTTGGATTAGGTTCTGGAGCTTCACCATTGTAACGAGGTGCATTCCGTGCGTCGCAAACCTATACAATAAAGCAGATACAACAAAGTAAATAACATTAATGTGCAAGGTGAATACGGAAATGTAGGGGCGATTAATCACCACATCAAAACCATCAAAACAGGATTGATTCTTCACTTGAGCTGTGTGTGTGTGTGTGTGTGTGTGTGTGTATAAAGGCATATCTACTGCGCCGTGTACCATGGTGTACTACAGTGGAAATACAACAACTGTGAGCACAACGTCTTCAGGAAATCAAGTCCCTTTATACAGTATTGTCGGGGCTGAAGAACGGACAGACTGGAACTCCACCAAATATTATATTTTTAAAAAGAACATGCAAGGCTAGGGTCACACTGGCACTGGCACCGGCACTGGCACTGGCACCGGCACTGGCACTGGCACCGGCACCGGCTTTACTACTGCCGCAAGTGATATGTAGTCATGAGAATAATAATAATGAGAAGAGGCTGGAACCCGACTAAAAGCAGCATCTCCAAGTAGAGTGACGTGCCCCGCGTTCTTCAGCACCTGAGAGTACTGCATTGCTAGTACCTGAAAGGCTTTAGCAGCAAGTCCCTCGGCAACGTCAGCGAACCCCCTGACCAAATTCTCCCGGTAGGTTGGAACAAAAGTACCAGCCTGTAGAAAAAAAGAAAAGAAAAACAGCACAAAACAGCATTAATCTAGTTGATGGGTTCGCACGGCTTTTCTACCTTACATCTATTATGTGCATACATTGCAACTAGCACTTTGTATCTTTACTGGTTTCATGTCTGTTCAGTGCACGCGCATTTTTTGTTTATGTAATGAAAACAGTAAGGTGCGGGCGTATACGCTGAAATAAAACACAAAAAAGTATTGCTAGTCGGACTCCTATTCAACAGCCTGTTTCATTACAACCATTACATTGTACGCGAGTATATTCTACTTCTCTGGGATAGAGGAAACTGAACTGCATCCTGAGAAACAGTTATCGTTATCCTACCGGTATGGTTCAAGTAATTTCCTAAAATTAATATCAAAAATTGCTAGCTCCCTGGCCATATAAGTGAAACGACCCTGTACTTCATGTCCTATAAAACCGCAGATGTGAATAAACATACATGTACAGACAACATGTACGCGGATGCTATCTTCCCATGTATTAAGAGCGAATGGTTATCCAGCCTACCTCTACAGTCGGCATTTCACCGTCAGCAGTTGCACCGTCTTCACTGCACCACTTCTCCAACCCACCGTCAAGAACGGAGACATTGTCATGACCAAACACTCGGAACATCCACCAAAGACGGCATGCTGAGAAGAGACCAAACTTGACATTCCTGTCGTAAACGATCACATGAGTGTTGTTACTGACACCATGAACCTAGCAACAATAACAAGAGAGGGAGAGAGAGAGAGAGAGAGAGAGAGAGAGAGAGAGAGAGAGAGAGAGAGAGAGAGAGAGAGAGAGAGAGAGAGAGAGAGAGAGAGAGAGAGAGAGAGAGAGAGAGAGAGAGAGAGAGAGAGAGAGAGAGAGAGAGAGAGAGAGAGAGAGAGAGAGAGAGAGAGAGAGAGAGAGAGTGAGACAGAGAGAGTGAGACAGAGAGAGACAGAGAGACAGAGACAGAGAGACACAGAGAGAGACAGAGAGAGACACACACAGAGAGACACAGAGAGAGAGAGAGAGAGAGAGAGAGAGAGAGAGAGAGAGAGAGAGAGAGAGAGAGAGAGAGAGAGAGAGAGAGAGAGAGAGAGAGAGAGAGAGAGAGAGAGAGAGAGAGAGAGAGAGAGAGAGAGAGAGAGAGAGAGAGAGAGAGAGAGAGAGAGAGAGAAGACGGGTAGGCTTAAGGAAGTTATTCTAGCCTCACACAGGGGAAACAAGTGCTCTAACTGGGTCTGAAGAGGGGCACATGGCAATAATAGAAGAAATACCGTAAAAGCCCCTGTATACACCCACTCGAAATTACGCCCACCCTCCGTGTACACACCCAGTCAGGGGAAGTCAAGAGCTTTGTTTCAAAATAGCGCCCATGCCCATGTTTTTTGTTTTGTTTTTTTTTCTCTACAAAATCCACATATCTCCAGACACTGGGGTGAATGATGGAGTGTGGTGGTGGGGCCCTTACGCCCAGGTATGCTGGCAACACCAGTACATGTACAGGTACCGATACCCAATACTTACGGCTATCGCTATCCCTATTCCAAGTATATGCCCAGTTCCAAAATAACGCCCGTGCCCCTGTATACGCCCAGGAAATCGAGGCTGTTATTCTATACGCCTGGGGGCCTATACGCCTGGGGGCCTATACACGCGCTTTTACAGTATGAACAGAAGTTTTAAATACTATTCGAATTTCCGGCCAGGTCATGTTCAGGAACATAATTATGTCAGCTCCTTGATCAGTTTATAGTCCCGATACGTAACCACTGTAGTGCAGTATCATTACATGACTAAAATCAAGGCAAAGCTGTAGCCACGTCATGTGTTGTGAACACAAATATACATTGTGTCGTGCTACGACTTGCTACGTCATAATTCTCACAGTCACCCACGTGGCTTTTGTGCTGCCCACGCTGCACTTTCCGCAATGTTTTTGGAAGCACTGGCTTTAGCGTACGTTAGCATATTGGCGTACCGTATGCCACGAACCTCACTTTTGCATACGGTTGCCGCCAGCCAGCTTGCTTTTCTCTTCCTGACAATCTCTCTGCTTGCTTGGCCCTTGCCAAAGCACCTTTTTATGGCTCCTTGCCCCTGTACTTATTTCTTGTTCATATGTAGTCTGCCGAATCTTTCTAACTGTAACGTGTAAAGTAATCATTGCCGCTAACTGTCGAAGTGTCCGTTGTGACCAGGAAGTGGCCCGATTTGCGCGCCCCCTTAGCAGGCGCAGACCTAAATTTGCTAAATTGGTGACCCCGATATTACTGTAGGCAGGCTACATTGTTCACCATGACCATGCCGGCCAGCAACGGGAAGGGCCGTGGAAAACCTTTCCCGGACGCACCCTCAGTTACCAGGGAGGAACTCATGGAGCTCAGGCAACAGCAGCAGGCTCTGCTGGACCAGCTCAACAAGGCACAGGCCACAGCCGGTACCAGTGGTAGTGTTATTGGGAGTAGCCCTGAGTTGGACCGGCCCCCAGCTGTGGCAGCCGTCAGTATCAAGCTGCCCGATTTTTACCCTTCGGATCCCGCTCTGTGGTTTGCCCGGGCTGAGTGTCTCTTCAGTCATCGTGGCATCACTGCCCAGCGGACCAAGTTCGATTATGTAGCTGCGGCACTGTCGGAGCAGTTCTCCATGGAGGTCCGAGAGCTGCTCATCAGTCCCCCGCAGGCTGAGCCATACACGACGCTGAAAAGCCAGCTCATCGCCCGCACTCAGATGTCTGAGCAGAAGCGACTCCGGCGTCTGCTCACGGAAGAGGAGCTTGGAGACCGCACCCCATCCCACCTGTTGCGCCGCATGCAGCAGCTTATTGGCTCCAGCCAATTGGATGAGTCGATTTTACGGAAGCTGTTTTTGCAGCGACTTCCGAGCAATGCCCAGCTGGTCCTTGCGTCGACCCCAAAGGCTACAAGCCTTTCCGAACTAGCTGCCATTGCTGACCGGGTTATGGAGACAACCCAGGCCTCAGTCTCCGCCATCCAACGCCCATCACAGGACGACGCTCGGATGTCCGCCCTGGAGCAACATATTGCTGCCCTGACCGAGGCCGTCAGCTCTCTGCATAAACGGTTGGACGGATCCCGGGGTCGCAGCCCTGGCCGTGGATCTGGTCCACCGCGCTCACGGAACAACTCGCCTGGTCGGCCCAGCCTGTGTTTCTTTCATAGCAAGTTTGGCGACCAAGCTAAGAACTGCCGACCACCCTGCTCCCGGTCGTCAAACTAGCTGGCCAGCCCCTGTTGGCGACCAGCACCGCTGGCCTGCAGACCACATGTCGCCTATTCTATGTCCGAGACCGTGTCACGGGGTTGCGTCTCCTAGTCGACACTGGCGCCGCCGTCAGTGTCTTGCCAACCACGTTCCGTAAAGGCAAGCAGACCGCCGTCATTGACACGTTGCGTGCAGCCAACGGAACTAGCATTCCCACATATGGCTGTCGATCGCTCACCCTTGACCTCGGTCTTCGTCGGTCATTCCCATGGCTCTTTGTGATCGCCGATGTTTCTAGTCCAATTCTCGGAGCTGATTTCCTCCACAAGTTCGGTCTCACTGTAGACATCCGCAACCGTGCCCTGCATGACACCGTGACCGATCTCTCCGTGCATGCCGTCCTAGCTCACGGCCAGGATACTTCGTCTCTCGCACCGCCGCTCACCGAGCAACCGGAGGTGAATTTACTCCTGCAGGAATTCCCTGGACTGACCAATTCTGCAGCTCAGCCCCAAACAATCAAGCATGACACCGTTCACTTCATCGAAACGGTTGGTGCACCCGCCCATGCCCGTGCACGCCGTCTGCCACCCGATCGCCTGGCCGCCGCTAAGGCTGAGTTTCAGCACATGGCTGATCTAGGCATCATCCGGCCATCCTCCAGCCCGTGGTCTTCGCCCCTGCATATGGTGCCTAAGTCAGACGGCGATTGGCGTCCCTGCGGTGATTACCGTGCGCTAAATGCCAAGACGGTCCCAGATCGGTATCCTGTCCCCCACTTGCAGGATTTTGCTAGTTCGCTCCACGGCACTAAAATTTTCTCCAAGGTTGACCTCCGGCGGGCATATCATCAGATTCCCGTCCACCCTGACGACATACCGAAGACAGCCGTCGTTACGCCATTCGGCCTCTACGAGTTCGTCCGCATGCCGTTTGGCCTGCGCAATGCAGGCCAGACGTTCCAAAGGTTCATAGATCAAGTACTGCAGGGCCTCCCCTTCTGCTTCGTCTATATGGACGACTTGCTAATCGCTAGCACCTCTCGAGAAGAGCACCTGGAGCACATCCGTACTGTGTTTCAACGTCTCGAGGACCATGGCCTCATCATTAGCTTGCACAAGTGTGAGTTCCTGGCACCGGCCGTCAACTTCCTCGGCCACCGAGTCGACGCTGCAGGCCTCCACACCCTGCCCGAGAAGGTGCAAGCCATCATTGAGTATGCTGAGCCTGCAACTCTCCGTGCACTCCGTCGTTTCCTGGGGCTAGTGAACTTTTATCGCCGGTTCATCCCCAGGTGTGCGAAAATAGTGCAACCGCTCACTGATCTTCTCGCTGGCCCCAAGACGCCGAAGAACAAAGCTATCGTCCTCAGTGACACAGCTCGAGCTGCCTTCACTGCCGTCAAGGAAGCCATTAGCGCTGCTACGCTTCTCACGCATCCCCAACCTGACGCTCCGATCGCCCTCATGGTTGATGCGTCCGATTTTGCTGTTGGTGCTGCCCTGAACCAACTGGCCGACTCGACTTGGCAGCCCATTGCATTCTTCTCGAAGCGGTTACAGCCGGCCGAAACACGCTACAGCACATTCAGCCGAGAACTCCTGGCAATCTACCTGTCCATCCGCCATTTCCGTCACTATCTCGAGGGTCGAGAGTTTACAGTGTATACGGACCACAAGCCCCTGACATTTGCTCTCCGCACCGCGTCCGACCGTCTGTCCCCACGCGAGCAGCGTCAACTTGCATATGTGGCAGAGTTCACCACCGACCTGCAGCACATCCAGGGCGTGGACAATGTTGTTGCGGATGCACTCTCCCGACCGTCTGTCAATGCCATCCAGCAACCCATTGATTTCACCAAGTTTGCGGCTGCCCAGACCAACTGCCCAGAGCTCGAGGCACTCCGTACTCGTCCAGACACCAGTCTCGATTTCAAGTCTATCTCGTTGCCGTTCTCTCCTGTCCCGCTCTTGTGCGATGTATCCACCGGTACACCACGGCCGTATGTCCCAGAAGCATTCCGTAGACCTGTTTTCGATTCGCTCCACAGCATCAGCCACCCTGGCATCAAAGCAACTCAGCGTCTGATCACAGCTCGGTATGTTTGGCCTGCCATTTCTAAGAATGTGCGCGCTTGGACTCGCTGTTGCCATGAATGTCAGCGGTCCAAAGTACACCGGCATACCTCGGCACCACTGTCGAAATGCATGCCGCCTGACGCCCGGTTCGATCACATCCATATCGACCTCGTCGGACCTCTGCAGCCATCCCAAGGTTTCACGTATCTGCTAACGTGTGTGGATCGTTTCACTCGTTGGCCCGAAGCAATACCACTACGCGACTGTACAGCCGAGTCAACCGCACACGGCCTGCTACAATGGGTGTCCCGTTTTGGCACTCCATTAGTGATCACCACCGACCGTGGCAGACAATTCGAGTCAAGCTTATTCGCTGCATTGTTGAAGCTACTCGGATCCTCCCGCCTACGCACCACTGCGTATCACCCCCAGAATAACGGCTTGGTCGAGCGATTCCACCGCCACATGAAGTCCTCTCTAATGGCACAGGCATCCGGCAGCTGGTCACACAATTTGCCCCTGGTCATGCTCGGCATCCGTGCAGCGTACAGAGCCGATTTAGACTGCAGTGTAGCCGAGCTCACCTACGGCACAACACTGCGTCTTCCTGGTGAATTCTACGAGCCCAGCTTTTCAACCTCACCCAGTCCGTCTCACTATGTCCAAGCCCTCCGCACATCTCTGCAGGCATTACGACCCACCACTCCCAGATCCAGCAACCGTTCCGTGTGGGTGTCCGGCGACCTAGCCACAGCGACGCATGTGTATGTCCGCACGGATGCTGTTCGTAAACCCCTCCAGCCGCCCTATCAAGGCCCGTTCAAGGTTATCTCTCGACACAACAAGTACTTCACCATACTGCTCAATGGCAAGGAGGATAGTGTCTCCGTTGACCGCCTCAAGCCTGCGTATCTCCCCGACACTGCCGCGAGTGCGCCACCTGTCTCGGCCATCCTGCCAGCGACCACCCCATCTGGGTCAGTATCAATTCAGCATCGTATTGTCCGTTGGCATGAGTGAATTCATTGGAATGACTGAATTTCTTGTGTGTGATCGTCATCAGTGCATACACCCTGTATCCATTTGCAATGACTTGTAAATATTTTTGTACATATCCACTTTATATATTTCTCGTTTTCTTGCCGCTTGCTATACAGCATCCGCCATAGCAACACTAATCTTGTACATTTACTTAGCCTTACTCAATCTGTTTTCTACATTTCGTGCACTATCCTTCGTCAGTCCACTGGCGGGGGAGTGATGTCGTGCTACGACTTGCTACGTCATAATTCTCACAGTCACCCACGTGGCTTTTGTGCTGCCCACGCTGCACTTTCCGCAATGTTTTTGGAAGCACTGGCTTTAGCGTACGTTAGCATATTGGCGAACCGTATGCCACGAACCTCACTTTTGCATACGGTTGCCGCCAGCCAGCTTGCTTTTCTCTTCCTGACAATCTCTCTGCTTGCTTGGCCCTTGCCGAAGCACCTTTTTATGGCTCCTTGCCCCTGTACTTATTTCTTGTTCATATGTCGTCTGCCGAATCTTTCTAACTGTAACGTGTAAAGTAATCATTGCCGCTAACTGTCGAAGTGTCCGTTGTGACCAGGAAGTGGCCCGATTTGCGCGCCCCCTTAGCAGGCGCAGACCTAAATTTGCTAAAATTGTGTCAAATATCAATCTCAAATTCGGACTTCACGGAGAATTTCAAAGTATTAGGAAATTAGAGGCCACATGCCTCGTACTGCTCTTTTTCTCTCCGAAACTAACACTTGCAAGCCAGATATGAAAGAAAGAAAAAATCATCAGTCACACCACCGGGACTCGAACCAGGGACCTTGCTATTTGCGAGCAATGCTCTAACCAACTGAGCTACAGTACGAGGTGAATTGCTATTTCTGGACATTGGACATTTCTGGACATTTCGAGTAAAATAATTTTTCGTCGCGTGTAGAGTCAAGTCAGTCAGGTTGATGAAGTTTTTTCTTGTTGTAGTTGACAGCTGGGTTGTTGTAGTTTCTCCTCGTGTCGGTGCCTTGTTGATAGCCTTTTCTTCGGAGGCATTTCAACGAGTTTTGTGGTACTATGTCGCATGAGAATTTTGAATTTTGAGTAAAATAAGAAGTAATGGACGAATCGTTGGCTTCCCCATGTGCACTGCACTTCAGACGCTGTATAGTCTTGGACCTGTTGGCTGGAAGTGTGAAGAGGCCAACTGCAGTCCACCAATAGAAAAATAACAAAAATGGTGCAGTATTGGATGCCTATTGACGCTATTTTACTTTCATGTCCAGAATTCCATACACTGAAATTTAGGGCAAAAAATTGGCCTGTCGAAAACATCCCGCTATAAAGTGTCTGGGATCACAGCATGAGCAATTGTCACATATTTGGAAAGATGAAGGATTAGGCCATACAATAGATACAAAAAGATATGAAAAATGTAAAACACACAGCCAGTGGGCCTCTATTTTATTTTCATGTCCAGAAATTGCTATTCACCTCGTATAAATCTTATCCACAGTGATGGCAAATCTATCCTTCTTCGATCAATCAGTATCTGGCTTGCATCATACTGGCAACTCACACCAATCTTTGAAATTCTCCGTGAAGTCCAAATTCGAAATTGCAATTTGTGTTTGCTCGCAGTGGACATAGTTTGATGCTCTCCCCATGATATCAAGCGCATGGCCGAGGGCCCTCTTCATTGGTGTGAGTTGCTAGTATGAGGCAAGCCAGATACTGATTGATCAAAGAAGGATAGATTTGCCATCACTGTGGACAAGAGTCATAATGTAGCTCAGTTGGTTAGAGCATTGCTCGCGAATAGCAAGGTCCCTGGCTCGAGTCTCGGTGGTGTGACTGATGATTTTTTCTTTCTTTAGTATCTGGCTTGCAAGTGTTGAGTTTCGGAGAGAAAAAGAGCAATACGAGGCATGTGGCCTCTAATTTCCTAATACTGTGTCAAATATGTTAGAGTTTCTGAATAGAGCTTTAAAAGTTATTCACCTGAACATCTTACAGATACTTTGGTATTCTGGATTGGCGGATTCACCTTCTAATACCGCTTCTGTTTGTTCTCAAGGTGCCTATGCTCCAGCTCTTCGAACAGTTGGTCGACGAAGGCCGACTCACATCATCAATGCCGGTCCTAACTTCGGAGAGAAGAGACAAGTCCGTGTAGGTAGGCAGTAGCTTTTTGGTGTATTGACTGTTGAATCCGATTATCCTGTACATGCTCGTCGCCAGTTGAGTCCTCCGTTTTTTCGAGCCTGTTGCTTCTTTTCGTGATCGGTGTGTCTGATGACGATTTTGTCCATCTACTTACTATCGATCGCACCAAAATGACGACCTGCTCGGGAGAAGTGAAGGACTCAACTGACGAACGGGCATGCGCAGAGTGATCGGATTCAGCAGGCAATCCACTGCGGGCAATACACGAAAAGTCCTGCCCGCTGAGCAAGAGCGCTCATTGGCTGTAGTACAGGCAACCCTCACGTGACATGCAATAATTACCTTTCCAACATGATCCGCAAACACCTCTGGAGAGGGTAACATCAGTGCATACTTGGACTCCGTGTCCTTGACCTTGCCCAACGAAAAGAAAGTTGCGCCAGCAATGTGTTTCCTGCAGAAACGGCATACAACAGAGGGTAAATCTAGCAATGTGATTCCTCTCAGAACTCTGTGATACGCTATGCACCACCAACATGGCATTCGACATGCTGATTATCGCCTTACTTCAGATACTCCTGCTGCATGTCAATCTTCTGACCCGGCATGGGAAAGCTGACATCGATGACCCTGACCGCATAACAAACAGATGAACAAAACCCCCACAGCACATGGATCACGGTAACAAAAAAAAATACTCAGCTGACACAATTCTCACCTTCATCAACCCTTTCCCCTTTCAATATTCCACTGGCCAACTTTTCTGCGGAAGCCCCTGGCGCAGTACACTGCCATGAAAATGGACTTCTGGGCGTCGCAAATTTCGACAGATAGGCGTGTAATTGTAACAGAGGTCGGAGGCGGATAATTTTTAGACGTGGGTAAGTATTGACTGGATGTGTCAAATTGCGTGGATACTTGCGATCATACCTTCGTTTAAAAGGTGCGAGTAAAAAAATTGAAAAATTAAAAAGGTGGGAGTGCAAGGCCTAAATGTCAACATTATTGTGCTGCTACAGTCCATTCAGAAAAAAATGAACTTCTAGCTTTTGGCCATAAATGGGTCAAACGTTGAGTTTTTTTAGAATTTTTTTCTGCAATCCCATATGGAATCCTCTTCCAATTATGTTTCTGAAGTTTTTTTGTCCAAAAAGCAAGCCATAGCAAGAATAGGATTTCGGCCAGGTTTTGCCCCAAAAGCACTGAATTGGGAAAAACCATCAAAATCCAGGCCGTTTGACCCCGCCTGCAACAGTGCATTCTGCGGTTCGAACCCCAGTTCAGGCACCCTTTTTGGACCCTTTTTCAAATTTCAAAGTTCGCAGCACTGCACTATGTACGATGAAATCACGAAAAATCGCCAAATACGGGAGCTCGCCAGAGCCAGGACCCATTTTTTTATGAATGGACTGTAGTCAACCGGCAATCCACCTTGCTGGCATCATGTAAACAGCCCCTTAGGCCCTGATCAGTGATTATAACCTCAACTCCAGCCCCCGGGCTGGCTGTCAGGCAAGCTGTACAATATGTCATAATTATGTAATCACTCCAGCCCGGGTTCAACTGTCCCCGGGGAAATTTGCAATTCCGCGGCCGCGTTTTTTTCCGCGTTTTTTGCGATTTTTTTAAAGACCGCGTTTTCCGCGATTTTCCCGCGTTTTTTGAACTTTTTGTTGCACTACACGTACACACAGTGCACTGTTCGGTCAGCAACGTCTCATCGTGACGGCTTTTTACTCAAATATGACGAGTGTTTACACCAGAGACTTGTAACTGATTGATTTCACTACATACTCACTGAAAATTGCCGCACATCAATATTATTTACCGCATATTTACCGCAAATTCACCGCAAATTATGCCATATTATGCCGCGTTTTCCCCCGCGTTTTTTGCGATTTTTTTCCGCAATTTTCCCCGGGGACAGGTTCAAGGCGGGTTGGTCGGCAATCTTGTTGACAGGTGGGCTGGCAGGGTGTGTCTGGGATCTCAGGCATGTACACAACCAAGCCTACTGGTAACATTCATGGTGTGTTTACAATTTCAAATGGGCTGGCCCGGCAAGCGACCTCGGATGTCTCTACCTGGGGGTCCCGGCTGGCAGTACCATCCCGTGTGACATGGAAGCACAAAGGAGTTGTTGGTTCATTTGCATACATGCCCAGGGTCTCGGGTGCAGCCCGAGCTGGTCCGCCTTTTGTTCAGCCCAGGTGGAACTTCATATACGTATTTACCCCTTTGGCTTTAGTTTCTGGTTCCGAGGGTTGCCCTTTAGATCTCATTACTACTACAGTTTCACCTGCTAACCATGGTGGCACTGTACCACATCATACTTCAAAGCATGCCGTCCGGTAAGTACTAGTAAACAGTAATAATTAATTGTCCGCGTTTTGCCTTCAGACGCTGGCTGTCTCACCGCCTACTCCAGCGGTACTGTCAGAAAGTGTGTGCGTGGGGCATGGGAAATGGAAGTCTGTCAAAGTTATAGCGTTCAAATGGCATAATACCCAATTGCTCAACATGTCATCTTGCACATGCCCGACACTGACATCATCAAGAGTACATAAAACTTGTTTATGTACTCTTCACAACATGGATAACAAAAAAAAGTCTGTGCCACATTTCCTCATATCTGGGTTTCCAGATTCACTCATCAGCAAGTTAGTTAGCCTGTCATTTTCTGCGCGTTACACTTTTCTTCAGTGCAGTGGAATGATGTGACTGGTCGACCCTAGGATACGTAAAAGGAAACGCATGCCTACCACTATACCAAATCTGAAACTGTCTACGTAGATCTACGATGTTGAAACATCACATGTTCGTCTGTTATCACTAAAATTTCAGACAATACCACAAGTGTAGGCATGGAAATCTAAGGTTACCTCAAGTCGGGGCGAGAGCCGTTTGAGAGAGCAGCTTTCAGCCAAGAAGCATTCACCAAAGGCTGGGACATGATGGAAATATTTGTGTGAGTCCACCGAGTTTGTAAGCAAACGTTGAGGCAACCACTGCGTAAGACTCCCAGTCCCCGTGGCCACATGAGCTGAATTCAGAAAGTGGACTGAACGGAAATCTCAGAGCAGCTCCTTTTCTCATTTATTTCAGCTCTACAATCAGACAATAGCATTGATTGTAGCTCTGTTCAATGGACTGGTACTTGTCTTGGCTTGAGATCGAGAACCATTTTTTTAGCTGAAAGGGCCTGCTTTCGAAATTTCGAAATCGCACCAGTCCGGTACACGTGGCACACGTGGATGCATGCTGATTGTGATGTCAGTGAGTTCATTCATTTTGGTGCCGGATTCTTTGGCCAACTACATTGTAGTGTACAATGTCTTTGGCATGGGTCATTTTTTTGGAGAGTACGAGTACAAGACGACGCGTCGACGTTGTGACATGCTGAATGGAGTTATGCAACGACGTTACGTCTGGTGAGTTGTAGTCATGAGCGTCTCTGCTGTACCTGATTTAAGCAGAAGGCATGAAGCCGCTTCTTGTTTCTACAAAATTATAATTCATAGTGCAGGCTTGGGATGCAGTCACACACATTGTTTTTTTAAAGATAGAATGAGAGCAGTGTGAATGGCAGTGCAGAGGGGACACACATTCCCAATACACTGCAAATCAGTGTTTTGAACCCAGTAACCAGTACAGTGGTCCCTCTATAATCCGGCACCATTTGTGCCACGGAAATCTGCTGGATTTAAATATAATAGGGAGGGTGCTGGATTAACAAATCGGATTTGCTGCTGCAATATGCATGAAAAGGACATTTTGGCTGCTGAAAATTGTGCTGGTTTATAAAGTGCTGGATTAAAGAGGGACGACTGTATACTAGTAACACTGCAATTCACACTGCTATGCGCTCATTCAGTCTTCAAAAAAAAATCATTATAAACTCAGGGTGTCAATAACCGCCTGCTCGCACTCAATCCAGATTCGCCTATCGATGAGTCATCAATGAGTCATCGATTGGCGAATCTGGATTGAGTGCGAGCAGGCGGTGTGGTCCGAGCAACCCTGGCCCAATCGAACAAAACAAGGGTGTAGTACGCAAAATGTACGCATATCGTACAAAGATTCTGTGAAAGCTGTCCAAAAACGGCAAAGTCCATTTCCACTCCAGCCACTCGAATTGCACTCCCGGTGTGGGGGCCGGTGTGGTCGGATTCCACTCCAAGTACACCTACTCCGGATTCGATCGGATTCGACCAAACTATCACGCTCACTCTGAGCGCACTTGCTCGGGATTTGCCCAATCGATCATGCCCTCAAGTTCACCAATGATTTTGCGATGTCCGTGAAATCACAAGTCTCCACGGTGTGTAGAGCTGTAGTCAAAAAACCGGTGCAAAAGTTCCCTCGGTTTTAATACAGAAAATCTCATCAGAACAAATCTAACTGATTCCAGAGAGAGTATTTGCCCTGTAGTGAAGTACGGTGCTGAATGAAATCCGATCGCGTGAGTCAAGTGCGCTCCGGGCGCAGGCTGTGCAGCACTAGCCTAGTGCTGATGATTTGGCGAACATTGCCATTGGGCTGTGAAATGGTGCAAGGCGCAAACTGTTACTTGACTCACTGGTGCACAAGGGCCAGGCCCGAGTACCGTAGATGCTTACCAAATTATCCGGCGAACCTCTTGCTGTGTTTACATGAGAAATTTCAACCCGGGTCTGAGTTCAGCCCGGGTTGAAAGTCTGTACGATAGAAAAAATAGGTGAGCGTTTACATGAAGACAGTTGACCCGGGTCAAATACTGATATGCCGCCAAAAGTCTACTTCTAGAGTCCTGTATGGTCACGTGAATCCGTTCGCGCGAAATTTGCATGTACAGTGCTGTTCAAACCTGGCGCGAGATATGCACAGAAGTACGTTTGTACGATTTTCTTGACCCGGGTTGATTTCAGTCAAGCGCAATGCGTCATGTAAGCGCGCCATTCATTTAGTGTACATGGCGGGTTGAAATCTGACCCGGGTTGAAACGCCTCATGTAAACACAGCCTTACATGTAGTGCAGAGTCTGTTGGGTGTTCACATTCACACCTCTATGCACAGCCAACACTGAGGATCGATTGCATTCGAAGATGCATGCACGCACATGCGCACGCACACACACACACACACACACACACATGCATGTGCACAAACTCGCGCGCGCACACACACACACACACACAGACCTTGACCACTGCAGTCCTACAGGACTAAACCAAGCCCATAATTATGAAAGCAGAAAGACGTGTATGCCAGGTACTACCCTTGAACTCGGCTGTGTTTTGACAATGCCTATAACTTGATCGCAACCAAAGTGTGGGTACTAACAGCTAATGTGATAATAACAACAGCTATGCATTATGCAGAAAATAGTACTGGCCTGGCCAAACCAAACAACAATATTTGAACAATTAATTATTTCAATGGAATCTCACTATCTTTTAACTAGGGGTCGGTGGATTCTGCCGGCAGAATTTCGAGCAGAATCAAGGGTTTCTGGAAACGGAGCAGAATAGGCCAATAAAGAGCTTTACTGGAGCAGAAATGCAGGATTTCACCTAACAAATTAAGATAATCATGCACACGCACCACGTAATCAGCTCATCCGCACCTGCCCACAGCACTGGGCTTGCAAAACAGCACCTGGTAATCTACAGTGTCGACATCTACTGCATACTACTGTATTTGTAACCGTCCACGCACACAGCAGAAGCAGCAAAAGTGCTGGCCAGACACCGATCCCTGCCGGTACTCTGTAGTGCACCCATCCGTCTTCACAGCCTGTTTGTAGTCTGCAAGTTAGAACACAAAATTAATGTAGTCATGGACGTGCAGTCCGTCATTGTGACATATGCCTGATCCAACGTTGACGCTTTCACTCAGTTTGAGGAAAGTAATGGCATAAATAAGGTGATCTTTCAATCCTCGATCGTTCACTCGACTGTGGAACGGACTTGGAGGTTGATGTTCTGGACGATGGCGAACAGTGGCAAGTTCTTGCTGAGGCTGGCTTTTGACTCAACTGTATCGCAACAGCGGTCTATGGCCTCTGAGGACTGGCAAAGATTGCACTGAAGCCAAACGACCCGAGTCGCATATGGGCAGAGTGCACAAGTGAATGCAAGCCCAAAGCAGAGAGCGGAGGAGTTCCCGACCGAAATGCTAGTTGTGTCGCCTGCTGTATGGTGTGGTTTCCACACCGTGATCGCTTTGGAAAAGACCGTTGTGAAAGACTGCTTTGTATGCAGTCGCCATAATACAGGAAAAGAGAGAACCAAGGAAAAAAGAAGCCCGGCAGCATAGCCCAGGCCAATACTATGTATCATGCAAGAGGAGCAGAATTATGAGCAGAACTAGTATGAGCAGAAGTTTGGTCTTTTGCGAGCAGCATAAAAGCAGAATCGGCGAATTTTCCGAGCAGAATCCTCCGACCACTGATGATGACCGCAGCACAGAAGAAGTTGTAGGAGGGCGAAGTAAACTATATCTACATCAGTGGATGGGGTAGGTCACCAATCGACAAATGTCTCACCAGGTGGATTGTGGGAAGGACTAGGCCTCACCGAGAGGAAATTGAAGGCTTTCAACTTGCTCTGGGGTGGCGCGTTGCACAAATTCAGTCCATGACCCCTAATAGAAACAAAGTTAAGAAACATAACAGAAGTTGCACTCGGATCAGCAAGCACACTTTTCGTGAGCCCGGACAATGATTCTATTTACTTCGCGCTTCATACTGGACACCTTGTAGACCTTGAGCATGTGAGGTGTAAACGTACTACAATATACTTGCCACTACACCAGGCACACAGCAGTGGTACAACTAAGTCTGCTGTTATTTGGAGGTTTGGATTTTCGGAGTTTCTGCTTACACAAAAACAACTCGAGTGACAGCAGAAAAGAGACATTGTCATACAATTGGTTGCCATGTGCCTGTTGTACCTCTGTGGCACCTCTAGCTCTGTCCCCCAAACACTGAGCACTCTACGTAACCGCCTGAGGATACATAGACACATGTGACCCTTGAATGTGGGATAGGTAGCAAGGCTATCTGTAAATCCTTTGGCTTGGCCTGACGATGGATAGCGTTAATGTTGACCATAAGTGTATCTCGAGTATCATTAAGGGTCAACAACAGGACAGTAAGTATTACTGAACATCAAGTATTGATCAGAGGCTCATATGATCGTCATATCATTGCTGGTCAAATTTAGAAACTTAACCATGACCGTTGGAGTCAGCAAGCATAAATGGATTTCCCACATATCACAACACATCCACCATACATGTACGAAGTAGTGCCTTACATCAAATACTGGAATACTCTGTTGACCGGCCATGAAGGCTGTGAATGCCAAGACAGTCGCAGTCACGCCACTTCCACAGGTCATGATGGTGGGCTTGCTCAAGTCAATATCAAACGATGCGAACACTATGACACACAAACAGACCAAAAATCATCCACGCGCATGCAGGCACTCCCCTTTCGATAGAACTGAAGGCAACAAGAAAGGAAGGCTGGTTGAAATCAGAGTGAAATCGCACAATAAGAAGTCACCAAAAGGTTGGAGTCGTGATTGAAATGTTTAATTAGCGGGATCACAATCCCTGTTTTAATGATGTGCACTAGTATCATTATTTCTTAGGTATACAATGTGCATTGGGTGGGGAAAAGGTATGATACAGTATGAAATACACCTGAAATGAAGTTGTTTCGAACTTGTACTACCTCCGTATACAAAAACTTCGTGACTTTTTTGAACGGTGTTTTGAGCAAGAACCTGCTCAACGAACGGCGCCAAAGGCTGTCATCGACAACCCACGTCCATGTCAAGGTTAGTTTGGTTGATCCCGAACAGATTCTCCACGGACGCCATGCGTGTGAGGACGTTGCCGACAGAAACTCAAAAGTCAAATGAAAAAAACTAACACTTACTTGCTCGAAACTGACACAGTGACGAAGTGTAGCTCGTGGCTGGAACACGGAGTCACGCGGCACTCGCTGCCCTGAAACTGGCCAGGCTCGTACTTGCGGTGCGCGGCCCCATAGATCTACGCAGCGTGAGAACATAGATTTATTTCGCTCGCACGGCAAGATGAAACATTTCAGCCGTCGTGCAACCAGCGCAGACTCAGGATCAGAATGTCGATGGCCTTGCTTTCTTCGCCTCTCTCCAGTCAGACGTCTCCTTTGTCGCCAAGGGGAATCGCAGGGGCCTCCTCGAAGCCATTGTAGAATGCTTGGGAGGATTATCCTGGCGAGAAAATGCGAAGCGTGTGGATGTGCTTGTACGACTCGTTTCACGGCATAATGGAGGTCGCGGGTTGGAACAACTGAATATAGTCGACACCGATTCGTACACAGCTCTAGAGATGAAGAGGACGTAGCCAAAGTCCAGCGTGGGATCATCACTGCATGTGACAAGAATCTGAACGAAATGCGAGCGGAAGCAGCGACTGTTGACGATGCGGAGTCGGCGTCGTCAGGTGACAATGACATGAGCGACGAAGACTCTGAAAAAACTCAATCTCATTCGTCTGAGTTGCTTTTTTCTTTGTGTATAGCTTGTAAACAGGTTAGACAATGCCACAAGTGTTATTCCGAGTCAAACGGAACAATTCCAGAGCTGTGCGCAGCTTTCAAAAAAAGTCACGAAGTTTTTGTATACGGAGGAAGTACTAACAACCTATTAGCCTACATAGCAAGCAGTTAAGAACACAGTAGACTAGAAGGATAGAGGCAAAACAATGACAAAGCCCATTGCTAGAACGTGTGCATGAGAAAGAAACACAGAGGCGGAGCTCCTCACCTCGGAAATGATATTGAAGATCTCGTCAAGTGCCAGATGAATGATTCCTGGCTCGCGGTTCGAACCCATCATAGTGTGCGTCTTACCGGAAGATGTCTGGCCATAGGCAAATATAGTGCCTGGAGGTGGCACACAAGGCAACACAGCAATAATCCCATGCCTGGGTTATGCATGCTCTCATAGGCATTTTTCACAGTACGGTACTGAGTGCATTGCAGTAGTAGCTACCAGCTCACACTGGCCACACCTTGAATATCCATGGAAGCAGGTGGACCTGGGGTGAGGTGGGTGCACAGTTTCAACTCACCGTGGAATCCTGCCAACGTTGATTGCACAATGGGCTTGGCAATGGCCTCAAACACGCCACTGTTGGTAGATGTTTGGTCAAACACATGGTCTAGAATCAAAACAAGACAGACATAGGTAGTGAAAAACAAAGTAAACATCTGATGCCCTAGATTGGGATATGGTGCCATGGCTGTAAAACTAGTCTGGGGATACAAACCCCATGTTTCCCCATTGTTCCGGTGGCTCAAAACAAAAAAAATCCTTGGGAAAACTGAGCAAATCTCCGAGAATCTACAACCTGCATACAAGACAATGGCAAGGGAATCAAAGAACATCCATAGTGCGCCACTTCTACGGTAATAGCCAACCAACACTGGATAAACTGATGAACTCTCAGTTGGGTTGGACTCACATCAGTTCATAAAGCCTAGCATCTATGGTACAACACACTGTATATGTATTCTGTTGTGAATCGATGACGGGTTGGGCAATATCCCAGCTACTACCATGACTGCCACTGGATAATGTACTGTAGATGATACGCAAGTAAACGTCAAGTGGACTCGCTCCTCTACAGCTCGGTGCCATCATGGCATAGTACATACACGGTGCAAACCCATGTTATAGCCCTCTCTCCCTCCCCCATGGCATTTGGTAAAGACCACACAGGAGTGTTCAGTTACAACACACAGTGGGATACCAAACAAAGATGTGATCATGTACCTGAGTCTGACCATTGCTCTTGCCACGCGATTACGTCTAACAATAAACATTCTCCTTCACTAACGCGAGGTTATGTATGGGCGACAGCGTGCGTTCCGAATGCTGTATCTGGTAGGTTGGGTAACCCCACTGTGGCACAGAGTCAGTACGATGAACTTTTAGGGGGGATCACTGCATACTAGTACCAGATACTGGATCATGATGAGTAGAGAGCATGTGTCATATCGGCCTCGGCAGCTGACGGGTTCTCCCGGGCTGTACGACAAACTTCCCCGGGTTGTACGACGAACTAACTACTCTGCCGGTACTAGTTTACATGTTGGGTGAACGTGTTCCCCTCATGAGCGCACGTTTGTACGGCAGTTGTCTTTTGTATCTACTTGTCACTTTTATCAATGCATGGGCCGCGGGATGTTGTATCTGCTAACTGTCTTATCGTATACGCTGGCTGTTTAGTTAATTCATAAATAATACACATTTCTCCTTGTCTTCTCCCATTGGTCAATTCTGCATAGCAACAAGCTCTCTATGGTCTGATTGGTTGGTTTTTCTCGCCTTTGCTACGCCTTTGTCTAACTCGATCCTTTTTGTTATCATATAACTCCTGCTGCTTCTGATCAAAAGTGCCAACCTTCCTTCGACCTTCAATCTTGAATCGAGCTTGAAATCACAGTTACTCTCAACCTTCTTCGAATGACCAAGGTGAGCGTGTGTGGCTGAATGGATACTTGGATCAACTATATTGGTTGATGACCTGGTGGGGTTACTACGGCAATGCGAATGTATATGTTGTAGCCTTGAGATTGGAAGGGAATGGGTTGAGCCTGAGATTTCAGCGCCGAACCGTTTTCAGATTTTGATCCCAGTTGATCTGCGGACCGAAATTCTGAAGGAGTATCACGATTTCCTTGGTCATGTGGGTATGAAGCGGATGATTGCCCAGCTTTGCACTCGGTTCTATTGGCATGGAATGAGTCGTGACGTGGAAGATTGGATCGGCACGTGCACGTCATGTTGTCGACGCTCCCGGCCGGTTGGTCGAGGACAAGGGGCACCCTTACAGGTGTCCTGGGCGGGGTATCCCTTCGAACGTGTGGCTATGGATTTGATTCCAGGACTGCCTGAGACTTCAGGTGGAAATCGTCACATTTTGGTCGTTGTGGACTACTTCACAAAGTGGGTAGAGGCGTATCCGTTGAAACGGATGGATGCAGCGACTGTTGCATTGGTATTTGTGAGCGAATTCGTGTCCAGATTCGGAGCACCGGATAGCTTGCATACGGATCAAGGTGCAAACTTTGATTCGAAACTGTTCAAGAACGTTTGCGGCTTGCTTGGTATCAAGAAAACGCGGACAACGGCTTACCATCCGTCGGGTGACGGATTGGTAGAGAGGTTTAACCAGACGTTAGAGCGATTGCCCTCACACTATGTTCAGAGAGACCAGCGTGATTGGGATGTCCAATTACCCGCAGCATTAATGGCGTATCGGGCTACCACCCAAGCCAGCACAGGGTACACGCCGGCATATCTCCTCTTCGGCAGAGAGTTCTGTCTCCCGCAAGATGTTGCATATGGTTTACCGCCAGCTGAACAGTTGGATGAACCTACGTATGTGCGTCAATTGCGGTCCCGTTTGGCGGATGTGCACACGACTGTGAGGCACAAGCTCGGTGCAGTGCATCGACATCAGGCGCATCTCTATGATCATAGGGCTGTGTCGGTGGAATTCGCGGAAGGAAGTCTGGTATGGCTCTTGGTATCCGCTGTTCCGGTTGGAACCAGCACCAAGTTGGCGAAGTTATGGAAGGGACCGTTCAAGGTTTTGAACCGGTTGTCTGATGTTGTGTATCACGTCCGTGATATGGGATCAGACTCGACTACATGCCAAGTTGTGCACGTGAACCGCTTGAAGAAGTGTTGTGTACGCCCAACACATCTCGCTACGGTTGTACGTCGAATTCATCTCCGACAAGGAACCCGATCAGAGCTGCGTCACCACAACCGAGCTCCTACACGCCTGATACCACAGACTTGTTGCATGCGGAGAGAGCAGGCGGCCGCGACGAGCAGTTTGGAGGAGTAGAGCTACTTCCCATTGACGCTGCAGTAGCACCGGCTGATGTCAACCGTCCAGCTCAAGGAGTACAGTTGCTTTCCACTAACACTGCAGCAGCATCGGCTGGTGTCAATCGTCCAGTTCGAAGAAGGAGACCACCCCAGCGATTGGAGTACGACTAAGGATTGCGGGACGCAATCTCCCAGAAGGCCGGGGAGATGCCATATCGGCCTCGGCAGCTGAAGGGTTCTCCCGGGCTGTACGACAAACTTCCCCGGGTTGTACGACGAACTAACTACTCTGCCGGTACTAGTTTACATGTTGGGTGAACGTGTTCCCCTCATGAGCGCACGTTTGTACAGCAGTTGTCTTTTGTATCTACTTGTCACTTTTATCAATGCATGGGCCGCGGGATGTTGTATCTGCTAACTGTCTTATCGTATATGCTGGCTGTTTAGTTAATTCATAAATAATACACATTTCTCCTTGTCTTCTCCCATTGGTCAATTCTGCATAGCAACAAGCTCTCTATGGTCTGATTGGTTGGTTTTTCTCGCCTTTGCTACCTTTGTCTAACTCGATCCTTTTTGTTATCATATAACTCCTGCTGCTTCTGATCAAAAGTGCCAACCTTCCTTCGACCTTCAATCTTGAATCGAGCTTGAAATCACAGTTACTCTCAACCTTCTTCGAATGACCAAGGTGAGCGTGTGTGGCTGAATGGATACTTGGATCAACTATATTGGTTGATGACCTGGTGGGGTTACTACGGCAATGCGAATGTATATGTTGTAGCCTTGAGATCGGTATTGTGTATGTCCGGCATGACACATGCATTCAACCACAGATACTTAGGCTGTGTTTACATGAAGCGTTTCAACCCGGGTTGAGTTCGACCCGGGTCAGATTTCAACCCGCCATGTACACAAAATGAATGGCGCGTTTACATGACGCATTGCGCTTGACCTGGGTTGAAATTTCGCCCCGGGTTGATTTCAACCCTCCCCCCAAGGGGAGGGTTGAAATCAACCCGGGTCAAGAAAATCGTACAAACGTACTTCTGTGCGTATCTCGCGCCAGGTTTGAACAGCACTGCACATGCAAATTTCGCGCGAACAGATTCACGTGACCATACAGGACTGTAGAAGTGGACTTTTGGCGGCATATCAGTATTTGACCCGGGTCAACTGTCTTCATGTAAACGCTCACCTCTTTTGTCTATCGTACAGACTTTCAACCCGGGCTGAACTCGACCCGGGTTGAAATTTCTCATGTAAACACAGCCTAAGATACATAATATTTTACAAAAGAGTACATAACCAAGGTCAAGCTGTGTACCAGATGTACTCTTGTCTTGATTTTATTGTGCATGTAAAAGCAAGAGTACATGAAAACCGGTTTTCATGTACTCTTGGTAAAAGGCGTAATTACCGTAGCAATGATTATGTCGTACGTCAACTGCTACTACAAACATGCACTGCGGAAACTGTTCAATCAAATAAAATACTCACCAAACGTGAATGAGGCATTCGGGACTTTCGCACAGGTAATACTCCGGCCAGCCAATTTCCAATTAGCAACAGCATCGCTTGGCTCTCTGTGAAAATGAAGAGATTCTTCCTTTCATTCATACACTGGATAGTAACCTGTGAGGTTGTGCACACAGCAAGTTGGCAGATTTTGACTTACCTGGGCAATAGAGGCCGGAGCCTCACCGCAACATTGACGGCATCCATGGGCAGCCAAAGCTGCGTGAGAGCTACTTCAGAATTGCAATTTGACGCGTCCTAGAAGTAACAGTCCCCTCCCATGTCGAACAAAACATCGTCTTTCTCTCACTTCTCAGTGCAGCACAACGTAACGTTTCGTACACTTGTGCTTCTTTCCCTGGCCTAGCCTCATCATCTGCAGATCTGCAGCATGAAAAATCCGTGCAGTTCGATTTTCAAACTTGCCGCCATCGCGGACACAGATCGCGCGAGACACACAGTGTTGTGCCACCATGACAACAGCCGTTATGTCGCGTGACTCGATCCGTACGCGCACGCGGTAGCAGGTCCAGGCCAGCACTTGACAACTACATTTTTTACTTCAATTATTTCAAATAATTCAATGCCAATGCGCGTGAGCTGTCTGAGCAGCAGCTGGCAGCATGCATGCAGTGCAGTTGTAGTTGTCCAGGGAGTCGTGAAACACCGGTATTTTACGACTCCGTGGAGTTGCCAGGGATCGTCACACTGTATTTGACGACTCCCTGCCTTGCCATTGAATGATTATTTTTAATTTTGATTTCTTATCCCACGCGCTAAAAAGTAGTTCTTTCTGGTACAATCCGCTATATACATGTATAGGCTGCACGCACTGACACTTTCCCTCCAATCATATGTAGCTAAACCATGATGTACGCCGTGACTTCTCAATTTCACCGCCATGTATTGGTCCCCACAGCGGTTGCCGCAAACCGCAGTAGTCATGATGTACTTGTGCATGTAGCTCTTTCAAGTTCAACACACACCTCCAGATGGCATTCCTTGGCTGAGGACCTGCTCGTCTACCAACACAGCTACTTTGACCGCTTTCCTCTTCTCAGTTCTGCTATGCCACGGTTTCTGGCCTCACGCCGTCTGCCTATCATCCGGAAGAGCTGCTGATTTCCATCATTCCGTCATGCATGTGCTTACACTTTTAAAATTAATTAAAGTCTTTGTAAGATCATCCTCAGCCTATCATAGCTATTCGGGTAGCTACCATGAATGGTCATAGAGAATAGTTACTAGTGAGCCAAGAGCTGTCATGTATTTCTGTGTTCACAGGAAAGCTTATTTTAAAACAGTCGAATATAGTTATTGCAAAATAAGGTAACTTGTCCTCACGTTAGCCATGATTCTGTTCGAGAGATACTTGCTGTCATAAGTCCTTACAACCAGGCTACAATCCCCCCCCCCCCCCCCCAGAGACACTACACCAGTGTAACTTAAGGAAGAACTGGGCGTCAAAATTGGGGCTCACTAGAGAGGACATGGGGCACAAAAGCTTGGGCAATGTGTGCCTCACAACCGCCGGGAATGCCCCTGGGTTGAAACCGCGGAAAGCCTCAGAATGACATCAAGCCGAGTACATACCGGGTACTTCCAGTACCCCCCCCCCCCCCCCCCTAAGAGGGTACAACTCTGGATAGTAGATACCCTTTCCGCTGACGGCGAAAACTCACATCATGTGGTGTAGTCTTCCCGTTGTACATGCACTTTCCCAGCCCATTTTAGAGCCCAGTGGAGTTGAACTTGAACAGCACTCCCTGGCAGAAACCCACTCAGCTTATGCAAGTCATCAGCATCCAGGAGTCGTATGATAAGCAACTCCATGATCTGAGTATGATTATTTCGATGTTTGGTTGTCTAACCCCCTTGCGCGCTCAAAGCGAAACCCTGCCTCCCTGACATCCGCCTATGCCAGGCATCAGAGAGAAAAGCACCAAAGCATATGAGGATTGGGTTCTGCACGTGGAGCATGCATCATTCGTGCCTGTTGTCCTCAGCTGCACTGGTGGGCAAGGCAAGGCAAGGCTGCCCTCTATCGCAGGGTTGCCGCCTTCCCTCACTTTGGAGAAATTCAGAGAGCCCGGCTTTCTCTTCAACCCTTTCTCTACTCCGTGCAAAGCTGGGTGTTCCCTTATCCAATCAACAACAGCAGCCATACGTGATCCCTACTGCCATCTTGTCCTACACCCGGCATCCGCCGACCTGGTTGCTGCGGGGTGGGACTGGCCTGAAATATTTATCATACCTTTTTTGTTTTGTTTGCATGATTTCTTGTTTTTTTCACTTGGTTCTGTTATCATTTTTTAAATTCCCTGGACCGGACGCACTGCGCCCCCTGTCCCCTCCGTGATCCGGGATACAGTGCGCTACCCGGGATAGTTCGTTTGTAGACTGGTAGTCCGGGGGCCAAGTTAGGAAAAAGTCACGTCTAATAGATTTCGTTCCGAGTGAGAGGGCACCAAGTTTTTGCGATTTGAGTGTCAAGTATCTTCAAAATGCTGCAAGATGGTATGCCATTCAATCAAGATTTCCATCGGGAAGGTCATACAATGAAGGTGGAAAGAATTGATGATGGTTGCCATGGCAACAGATCAGTTAATTCAAATTTACAGGAGAACTATGCAATATTTTGACAACATTCCTGCTGGATATAAACATATCCAATACGTATGACTGGTTGGCCAAGTTTGACTGAAAACAAATAAACTTCAGGGCCTCAAAGGTGAATTATAAAATCGGATCTACTGCAACTATACATTACTGTACATACGTAATTAAATATGCATGCATACACCGACAACTGTACAAATATATTGGTGACCAGTGTACATGTGACATCTATAAAGCCTTTTAGAAAAGAGTTAGAAATGAATAGAGCAATCTGTGACCAATGGTGATCTAATGGATATACATGTACATGTATGTATGGCGAAGAGGAAAATGTAGAGGGAAACAGAGCACGCCAAAGCAGTTCTCTCTAAGTACCTATCAGTTGGTAGCAACAAAGAGGATCTTGTGGCATTCTTTGGTGGTGAAGTGGCAGCTCCCGGACAACCTGAACAAGGTGCCCCCAGGCAAGGAACTGGTTGTCACTGCGGGCCAAGAGTGCATAATAATTATTGTCAAGTCGGCTGGTGCAAGCATGGCGTCTACTGCTGCGGAGGAGTTGCTGTTAACCCAGGAAGCGGCTGACACCAGACTGCTCCTTCATGCAAGGCATGCAGCTGTCAGTGGGTATGAGACCGTTCTGATAAGAACACGATATACCGATGTTGCCATCATTGCTTGTTCTGTTAGCCATGTTATCCCGTGTACGTTGCTGGTGGAGGTTGGTGCAGGTTGGTGCCCCCCCTTTTTTTTACTAAGGCCACAGCTTCCAATCATGACATGCAAAGCAGCGGTGCAGCATCGCAGGCATGAATTGTGGACGTGGTGACGGGGTCTGATGTGCTCCACCGATCTAGGGTCTCGGCTTCACTGCACAGCAAACGCGTCGAAAGAAAACGGAGGCTAATAATTATCGGGAGATGGGGGGGGGGGGAGAAGAAGAGAAGAAGGAGAGAGAGAGAGAGAGAGAGAGAGAGAGAGAGAGAGAGAGAGAGAGAGAGAGAGAGAGAGAGAGAGAGAGAGAGAGAGAGAGAGAGAGAGAGAGAGAGAGAGAGAGACAGAGAGAGAGAGAGAGGGAGAGAGAGAGCGAGAGAGAGAGAGAGCGAGAGAGAGAGCGAGAGAGAGAGCGAGAGAGAGAGAGAGAGAGAGAGAGAGAGAGAGAGAGAGAGAGAGAGAGAGAGAGAGAGAGAGAGAGCTGGGAGAGCTGGGAGATAGAAGAGCACAGTGCTCTTGGTGATGGGGACTGCGAAGGATAGCAGGTTCTGGGACATGTGCATGGGAATCAGAATATTGGTGATGATGGCAGCAGGGTTATAAGGTAAGCAGCTGAACACTAATAAAAACAGGGAAAGCGTTGGTGAACCGATTCAAAGTGCATCAGTAGCAGAGAGCCAGTCCTGAGCAAGAAGGTGACGGTACGCCTTTTTCTCAAAGCTTTGCATGTGGGGCTGGGCGGGTGGGTGGTGGAACAGGTCTGGTGGCAGGGCATTCCATGTTGCAACGGTGCAAGCAGGGAATCCTTGGAGACAGCTATTCCGGGTGTTGGCAGGCAGGCCAGTTGTCATCTGGTATGGATGGGAATCATGCAGCTGGAGAGACTGACGGATAGGTCTTGTCTCGGGGGCACGGTGAGTGGCTGGTTTGGGCAGCATCTGCTTCAGAGGGCTGGATGCATCTAGATAGCAGAGCTTGTAGGTATAGGCAAGTGCAGCTACCAGGCGACGGAGTGCCAGGCTAGGGAGCCAAGTACCTGCTCCGATGATGTAGAGGGCCCTTCGCTGGATCTGGTCCAGCTTCTTAAGATGGGACGAGGGTGAGCCCATCCACACTAAGGGGCAATACTTGAGTGTGGGTCGCACAAAGCCGTTGTAGACGCGTTGGCGGCTCTCGGCGACCAGAATGGGAGACGCTCGCTTCAGGAAGCCAATCCGCTGGTTAGCATGGGAAGCTAGGGAGCGGAGGTGGAAGGAGTAGCTCAGGGTGTCGTCAAAGGTGACTCCCAGGAGTTTCAGCCGACTCTCTTCACTGACCGGTGTGCCGTCAAATGTTGCTCGAGGGAGCTCCCAGGGCTGGCGATGGTGGCCTATAGACATAGCCTGCGTCTTGGAGGGCTCAAATTCTATCCTCCACTTATGTCCCCAACGGGAAAACGCATCAATGCCCTGCTGGAGGAGCTCGGAGCCACAATCAATGTCAGCTCTTGATGTGAGGCAGTGGAAGAGAGTTCCTGGGTTAACAGCAACTCCTCCACAGCAGTAAACGCCATGCTTGCACCAGCCGACTTGACAATTGTGACTCTTGGCCCGCAGTGACAACCAGTTCCTTGCCTGGGGGCACCTTGCCAGGTTGTCCGGGAGCTGCCACTTCACCACCAAAGAATGCCACAAGCTCTTCTTTGTTGCTACCAACTGATAGGTACTTAGAGAACTGCTTTGGCATGCTCTATTTCCCTCTACATTTTCCTCTTCGCCATACATACATACATGTACATGTACACACTAGTCAGAACAACAGATGGCTTGATCAGTCACAACAAAGTTTCATGCCATCTCAGGCATGTACATGTACATGTACATGTATATCCATTAGATCACCATTGGTCACAGACTACTCTATTCATTTCTACCTCTTTTCTAAAAGGCTTTATAGATGTCACATGTACACTGGTCACCAATATATTTGTACAGTTGTCGGTGTATGCATGCATATTTAATTACGTATGTACAGTAATGTATAGTTGCAGTAG